TATTTGCTGGAGCGATCAAGAGCTGAAGAGAAGCCCATGTCCTTGCGATCGCAAACCACGATAAGCCTTCCCAACTGGTCTGCGATGCAAGGGATTATGCCGTCGATTGTGCGTTGACGCAACACGATGATGAGGATCGAGGGCGATTTGTTTCGTATCAGTCGCAACAACTTTGGCCCGCGGAGCAGAACGATCCATTTCATGACAAAAAGCTTCTGGCAGTAAGGTATGCTTTGGTTAAGTTCCGTGTGTTCTTGCTTGGAGAGGAGCGATTTGCGATCTATACAGATCATGCCTCGCTGCGTACGGCAGTAGAGTCTCCTCATTTATCGCAGAGGATAGCTCGATGGTCTTCTTTTTTTGCAGAGACCAACATAATTGCGCACTATTAGCCAGGCAAGACGAACGTCTTAGCCGTTGCGTTGTGAAGACGTCCAGACCATGATTCAAAGATCAGGAGCAAAAACATTTACGAGTAATGTCGACAATGCGAAAATGTTCAGACAAAAGAGTGCAAGCATCGACTACAGTGCGTGAAGGAATTTACGAAGGGTACAAGTCTGATGAGACATGTCAAAGACCCTTCCGACAAAGCACTGTGTGGTCTTCCATCTCAAGATCGCGTGTTCACCATTTTGGAGTACACAATGGATTGTTGTACGATGCCGTTGAACACGGGGATACAGCAAGAGTTTTTGTTCCAAATGACGAATGTTTGCGTTATCGTCTCTTATCTGAGAACCATGACAGCCCTTTCGGCGGCTAACTCGGTCGTGAAAAAAGTTTCTCAGCCTTCATCGGCATTCCTATTGGCCACACATGTATAAGTGGGTGCGCAAGGACTATATTTGGACTTCCGCGTGACACACATGAACGCGGTGGCATCCCTGTGTAAGTGGACCGATTTGGCAAGATGATTTACTTTGGATATGATTTCTGCCGACTAAACAACAAACTTTTGTAATTGTCGTTTTCCGTTTGCATTCCCTTCCTGTAGAGATCTTGTCTGACTGTGACACCCGTTTCAAGCCGAATTTCGGCGTGCACAGTTTGAACTATCAAGCACCAAAGTAACCTTGTCAACAGCAGCACACCCTAAAACAGACGGTCAAACGGATCGTGTGAGTCGAGTTCTGCGTAGCTACGCTACGTCGTTTAAAGAGTGAAGTATATCTCTCTCTTGCAGAGTTTGCGCTGAACAAATCGACTTATGTCTCGACAGGTCATTCGCCATTTAATGTGAAATATGATATTCATCCTGGAGTACCTGCTTCCCTAATCTGCAAGGTCTATACCTTAATTGGGGAAGGAACTATGGCTATTGAGCCACAGTCACACGTAAAATGCTGTCACAGAGTTAAAAAAGGAATTTTGATCAATGAGACCTCTAGACGACATGACAAGTCGTGAGGATCAGCACGTCGATGACTTTATTGTGAAGAGAAAAGCCGTTGTGCGGTTTGTTCGAGATGCAATAGCAAAAGCTCATGCTTAGCACGACAAAGCTGCCTGAACATGCAGCGTCCGACTTAAAAATAGAAATCTTTTGCTAAGATATATTGGACCGTTAAAGGTGCTGAAAGGCAATGGTGATGCGTATACATTAGCCATCCCTACACATATGCGCCTATATTCTACATTTATGTTTGTAGACCAAAGTCGTATCTTCCGAGTGGATCTGCCGATCCTACTATTCATTTGGTAGATGGTCGGGCTGATCATGAAGTTTCTCCATTTGTCCACGAATAGCAGCCAACTCTTCACCGTGGAAAATTCTTCGTGACGTACAAGGGTTGAAGGGTATCAAATAATTGCTCTTTTACTGATTCCAACGCTTGAACGGGAGAATGGTACTCAGCACATAATTCCTTTGGAAGAAAGCCAGCCACTTCAACAGAGCGCAACAGATATTCGTGAGCCAACTCGCGAGACTTTTCGTCCTTCCGGAGTCGAACGAATTCATCATGAACCTTTTTCTCCGTAGCTCAAAACGGGACCCCAAAGCTGAGCATTGGGCGAAACCATCAGTCAAAACGACGATTTTCGAGTTTTGCTCTGCGACAAGGCTCGAAAGGCTCTCGCGGCTATCCTTAAGCGTCGAGCCACGCTGCTGCAATGCCCCAATTTGCCCGCGATGAGCGCTATTTCACATCCAGCGTTGCTCAATGGAATTCACATTCAGCCCCACTTCCGCTATTAGACTCTCGCGGAGAGCGTCGTTGTATGGCTGAGACGAAAGTCGATTACGAGGATCGGTCAGCCCGTCATCGTGGAAATAAGCAGTCGAATCACTAGCGCTTCTACAGAGCTTGGTAGATCGGGTTCCATCTGAATCAGATACATTGGAACATCGTCAGGCCTTTAAGTCTGATGTCCCCGACGTGTTCCGCAACTACAAGAATCGCTTGAAGTGTTACTAGAGGCAGCACTACGACGACCAGAGCTTGATTGTGCTTGGTCGTGATTGAGAGCCCTGCCTGCGCCGACTCAGCGAAGCAGACACTCTACCTTTTAAGACGCCGCCAAGAGTCAAGCTTTGCTTTGATGTGCTGGATCGGATCATCACGATTGTTTATCTGACGCCAACAAAAGAAACGTTCCATGTAGAACATCTTGTCTTTATCTCGGTTAAGAATGGAGGAAACGTCAAAGAGTTTGGAGCCATTCAGGTAGAAAACGTTCTTTCTTGTTGGCTTGTTTACTTGACCGCTTCATTGTTGCTCAGAAAGTGAAGTGCTCCAAAGGGTCTGCGAGAGTATCAAAGTACTTTTGACCTAAAGGAGGGGATGATGTAATGGACTCACTTAGAGATTCCATACAGGGACATATTTGTACCTCCTTTATGCGTTCTGAGAATTTAATATAGTTTGGTAATTCCAAATGCATACGTGGCATCTTATATGATGTCACAAATATTCTGTGTGATACAGAATCTGAATTTCTACTTTAAGATTTGTGCTGGTGACGAGACCAACATGTCTTTATCTTTCAAAGTGAGTGGCATAAGCCTACTGGATACATTCCATGAAAAGTGAAGTTCAAGCTTTGAAGATTAAGATCCGAACACTTAAGAATTTGTATCAATTGAATTTGAGGTTCAACCTCAGAACACACTTGATTTAAAAAATCAGTGGCTCAAGATTTTATTAGAAAACCTCTTGTAGCCCTTGGGGTGTTTTGCATATAGCTAGAAACCATTAATTCATTTTAATTCAGCTGCAAATCTACATTTGAGGTATTAAATCGTTCGTCTTCTCTCCAAGTCGAGACAGTCCTTCTCCGCTCACCTCGAGAGTCCCTTACACGACATACACACCCAAGCATGGATGTCATGTTTGCAAGACGGTTATGAACAGCGCACTCTTACAAAAGGCCATTTGACTACAATTATCTCGATTTTGTGCCGTCGTGATGGCGATGTTCTTTCTCGCTGCCAAAAGTCACATTTTGATCTTCGTTCCCGTGAAAGCTTTTCACCCTGATTTTTACGTGACGTTCTGTGTGTACCGACGATATCACCACCACATGTGGGTGATGTGACGAAACCGGTGTCGGAATGTTTTGCGATACAAATCCCAATAGTCCTTGCTCATATGCAGCAGAATTTCACTAGGCGTTGAGTTTCGTTTTTTCATCAAATTGGAGCATATCAGAGACCTCCTGATCTCCGATTAAAGCTCGCAGCTTCACCACAGACCCCAATTCCGAGTGTGTTAGGAGCAAATGTTCTCCCAATTAATCCGAGAAGGACCACCGTCTGTGATGTTCACATTATTCATCGATAATTCCGTCGAAGCAGTCGGCGTTCGAATGACTACTAATGCTACCAAGTGTAACGGGATTGCCCGTTTGTATACACACAGAAAGCTTACGTCAACTGAATCGTCTCACCGCGTGTTGCTCGCTTCGAACGGGGCGTTGACTTACGTAAAGAAGAAAAGGTGAAGTGACATATTCTTATTAAAAGGCTCTAAACCTTTCTAAACAGATACGTTTTTTATAGCTCTGATACAACATAACTAAATGGGGATATACAACTATACAGGGTGTACAGTTAATGTTAGATACACAAAGTATGTGGCCCACACGACATGTGTAATGTGACTTGGCCCACTACAGCTTTTGTAACGGGTTTACACGAACCCTAATAACAGGGGTGTGTGGGTCACACGAGATGTGCATAATGTGACCACACACCCAAACAAGAATACGATACGGCGCTAGGTAGCCAGTAATTATGCATGTATTTAGATTTACTAAATATATTTAGTATATTTAGGAAAATCTAAACTTATAAGATTAAGATAAAAAGATAATTACAAATCAGTTTCGATATTGAACAGAAGTGTTCGTTTGCCTTGGTTAAGGTTTTTAAGTCCTTTCAGAGGCAGCGGATTGCGATTGGCTGCACTAGTACTTGGTTCTTGTAAAGAACGAGGTCGGTGACCTGAAGACGCTTCCTCAAGCACAAAGCTGCCGCACAGATGTTAACTGCTCAGATATTACATTTAAACCAAAGAAATCAAGTTTATTGCGGATCAACGGATACACCATTTATTGGTATCACCAATCAACGGGCACACTGCTCTCCACGCGATCGAAACCACGCATTGCCATTGAAAAGGGAGTCAAGACCTCAACCACAACTTTGGCAAAACCAGCGGTTCTTTTTCACACAAGTGTAACAAGAAGGTGTCATTTTTTAGTTGAAGAGATTTCTATCAATTCCGCATACTGATTGAGATCATTAGAAGCTCAATCATTCAAGCACTAAAGCACATCAATTTATGCTTCCACTATTGAACTTCGACCAGCTTACCCACTACGGCAATCATCGAAAGTGTAAATACTACGAGAGCCGTAGTCTACATATTTACGTTAGAGAAATGTTGGAAATAACCGGAAAGTTGATGTATTTCCAAATTTTCTAGAAGTAGTTTGTCGATTATTGTATGTCGACCACGTTGAATTAATATACTTATTTGTTACGAATAGTACGAATGCAACGCAGCCATCGCAAACTACTCAATGCCGCGCTGTGTAGCAACATCGTGAGTGTCTTTTTGTTTTGGCGACTGCTAAATTTCTTTTTGACTACATTTATATTGCACGTATTGATTAAAAAAGAATCAACCTATTCATGCGATTTTTCCTCTCTATAGATCCTCTCCTGCGCGTTGCTACTGACCACCATGTTTCTACTAGAAACACCATATGTGGGACTTGATGCTACTATTACCGCCAGCGTCTATGTAGTCTTCAATTTTGTTTCTATTGTCATCTTGAATAAAGCACCATCGGCTTTTTGCGTGAGATTTGGTACTCAATCTTTTGCTCATCTAAGCTTCTCATTTTTTATTCATCTGTAGGTTGGCTTTGTGGTTGGTGCATCACTACTTGTGCTTGTTTTGGCCGTCCAAAGTGCTTTGTATTGGGTAAGCAAAGATTTGAAGCCAGTTGCATTCAATTTATGGCGATATTGTGTGCTTGGTAGGGGGAAGCGCACAGCAACTCACGATACCAGAGTGCAGGCTACTTAGCATCTGGTATTCACTCAATGATTTTCTTAGTGCAGTGTGGTGTGACAACAGTCGTGGTCAAGTCCAAGGAAGCCGTGATCGATACTTATGCAGGTACGGACTAATTAATTTTCCCATATTCTAGTCAGCTGATAATTCTACGAGTCTTATACTACCAAAGCGTACGAGTACATTCCTGATAATGTCCTCTCAACTAATCGCTCGGGCCCAACATGTTTGATGAATTATAATACTGCCACTTCAACTGTCAACATCGATCGATTGAATTTTGGACGAATTGGAAATACATAGGAGGCTCGATATCCGAATCACTACATATCAAAACTTAAAACAAATGAGTTTTGAATCAGATACCACCATCAAGAGTTTGTGTCCAATCAAAAGCTTTCCAGGTCTTTAAAAATGCAAGAACGTCGCGCTTAATATCCTCAAGTGGGCGACTAGATCGCCGAGTAAGAACATTCGCTACGCCCAGCATTCCTGCCACAACATTGACGCCAAAGTCACTCGGAAACTTGTTCTCGTCTTCAATGACGTGCCCGTACCCCCCCCGTCCCTTCCGTGTATACCACTCAATGTGAAAATATGAAAATGTTGGTGGCAAGAGACTTTTGATGCCACCTCTACTTGTGTCAATGATTGGTTGATGCGTACTCCACTCACTGTCAGCCTGCATCAATTCTTGTTTGAAGTACAGCGGCAAATCCAGTGCTAATTCTGGGTCAATAGGAATGCACTCGATCCACGTGTGTCGCTTTCGATGTGGCGCACTTGTTTGCTCAATAAAGACCATACTCATGCCGTACTCTTGCTCGCACATACTTGTCAATGCAGTTTGAAATCGCTTGATCTCGTCGTTCACTTTTTCATCTGCTTGGACAATAGAGCATTCATGCTCAACTGGCACGATCACACAGTGCCCAGCATGTAAAATAGGACGGTTTGGCACCGCAAGATACGTAAATTCGCCAAACGACAATATTTTCTGTCGCTTGAAAGCTCGGCTTTTCATACAAAGTGAGCACTTTTGAATTCGCTCATCCCAGTGCTTGGTGTCATTAATAGCCATGGCGTGCTCACGCTGATCTCTTGCGCGTCTACTCCGGTTTAAAGCTGATTCTTGCAACAGGTTAATGTTCACTTGCTCATCTTCGTCGAGTCCACTCGAGAACTTCTGAGCGTTTACTTCGCTTCCTTTGTAGCGTGAACCAAGTCGAAAAATGTTTCGTGCATGAGCCGCATCCATGTTGCCTTTGCACTTCCGTGAACTTTCCATTCGTTCTTCACGCACCAACTCTTCTAGCGAAGCTTCCAATTCTGGTCCATTAATATTAAGTTTTTTTGCGTGCTTCTTCTTACCTATGTGTGATCCATTACGCAAATCTTCCTTTTCTAAAGGTGGTAAAGCTCCAGGAAATGTCTCGTAATGAGGAATGGCAGCTGCAGTCTTTTCACGCTCCAGCTGCGCTTCGAGCTCATTCAACTGCTCGGTCAATTTGTGAAATAAAGCGGTCTTGCCCATCATCTGAGCTCGTAACGCTTTCGCTGCCAACTTGTTTAAAGCTACATTCTCGTTTGTGTTACCCACACTGCAGCTTGTTACTGGCCCAGTCTTGTTTGGCGGCATTTTATTGTGAACTAATGGGTTGTGCTCAAGTTCAACTTTGCAGTCGACAGGGTTTTTGCGACCGTAAAGAAAAGATCTTCGTTTTTCTGACTCAAGATTTTCGGCGACGGTCTTTGCTTCGTCACGCACACGCAAAAGCGGAGTCTCTTTGTGCTCAACTAAGAAATCAGCTTTCTCCGGCAAATTGTTTCTTTCCTGCTTAGAGCGAAGCATCTCATGATGAGTAGGTGAACGGGAACGATGTGACCTTCGCGATCGCTTTCTATCAACTGATCGTTCACTGCTGCAGCTTCGACGACGACCGTGTCGTTTAAAGCTTGTGCGATTGTAATCGCGAGTGCTACTCCCTTCATCCTTCCTATACCTACGATGGAATGCTCTCACTCGTGCGTCACAGTCGTCAAAATCCGTCAACTTATTATAGTCAACGGGTTCTTCATCCTCATCCTCCTGTATTGTCTTTCGAGTCAAGTTCCGTCCTTCCTCCCGTCTACTAACTGTTTCATGTCTGCTCGATTCAACTATTTTTACTGATTGCTGCACTCTCTTCGAGTAATTGACCAGCAGTGTCTTATCTTGAGCATTCCGTTTGACGTCAACCACCCGGCGTTCACGTCCTGCTTTGTTATCCACTGCATGTCGTTTATACTGCATATGCGCATTGTCATTCGCTGATCCTTTCGCATTTTTCCTTAATGCAGAAATTGATCCATATCTTTCGCGTACAATCTCTTCAACTGCAACACCCGACGCTCGCGCCTTTTCCTCGGCTTGTTTCAGCATCTTTGCCCACCAACTCGCTCCTCCATCACCGAATCGTGGCATCTCATCATCGTTTTGATTTTGTTTTGCATCTAATTCGTCTACAATACTAATAGAGACAGTAGGTGCAGCATCAGGATCTTTCGGATTATACAGACCGTAAACCATTCCTGTTACTGGCTCCCGCATTCCAGCGTTTATTTCATCCTGGATCTTCTTCTGCTTTGCTTGCTCTTCTGATTCGAAAGGCTCCTTTACTACCGCATCAGAATCAGCATTTGACATTATATACGGCATCGTCATCCAGTCATCCCGTGGTAAAGCCTTTGTAGCTCTCGATTCGTTATGCTTTGCAACATCTTCTTCTATGCTGCTGGTACTTACGTATTTATTTTTTTTCTTGTGCTTCTTCGATTTTGATTTTGCATTCTTCTTCTTCTCTTTCTCGCGCTTCGATCTTTTCTCGCTCTCTGAGCGCTGTATGAACTTAAGACCCTGTAACAACGAGCTCATTTTATAATCAATAGAGCCTGTAATGGAGAAAATTGTTGGCTATTTCTTTAAGAAATAAAGCCAACACTTACTTTTCTATTTATTAACAATAATAGGCGTAAATTCAATTTATAGGCATTTTTCGGAGAATTCGAAGTCCTTCACTTGTACTTCCAATCTCTTTAAATTGATGCTCTTGAAATACTTCCTCAATGTCGAGAGGAACTCGCGCGAGCTGAATCGATAGTGATAACGATGGAGCTGGAAGTGTTACTTCTCTTGAAGTGATAAATAAATCGTCTTGTGCTGCAAAAATATCGATCGTTGTGTCAATCTTTCGACTCCGAAGCAGCTTTGATAGTTCGAAACTCCCGTAAAATTCACCTTCAGATCGCGTCCGCGTTGACGCGTACATATCGTTACGAAAGTAAAGTTTAAGCGTCGAGTTATGACGCAAATACGATTGCACCATGTTTGTCGTTCCGAAGAGCCAGAATTTGTGCGCACAACTGAATGACACTTGTGGAATTAAATTTGACAAGATAGCATCTGATGATCTCGACTGATGACCGCTCTCGGAATAAAGTTGGGAGTTCAATGGCTGTCGTTCCAAAGCCGAACGTCTCTGGTGAAGTAGTGTATAGTGGCATTCCCACCGACAGCACGACCGCTCTCGTGATAGCAAGTTGTGCGCTTTTTTGATAGAAAGCGCAAGCGACCAGAGCGACATGCGGTTTCGTGGAGTCGCTGCCATTGAAGATCTTGATGAAGGATCGCTAGCGTCAAGATTTGAACAGTTCGAGCGTTGTGTAAAAGGAGAATCATCATTGGATGGTACGATTATTGACGGATCCCTCAAATTAGTAAATTGATTTTGATCGCAGAATAGCTGTTGCTTCGTCAGATAATTCTCCTCATTGCCCGAGGGAGTGTTGCTAGGAGATATAAGATTCGCGTTCATATTTTGCAAACGCTGTTCTTGTAGCTCTGAATCGGCCTGTTCAATCATTAACTCTAAATCCACGTCCATTGTTCCATTTTCATCCAGAAGCGACGCTCTGGATGACGAAATATTGAGTATCGAATGTAGCGAAGATTCTGGAAAACTTTCAGCCTTGTTATACGGACTGATCTCAATATTCGTTAGGCTTTTCATATCATTGACTGTCGATGAAGACCGTTTTGTATAAGTCGAAGCTCGGAAAAAATCCATCCACTCGGATGTTAAGGCATCACCACTAATAAATGTTTCATCTGGAATGAAAATCCCATTGTGTACTCGTAAACGGTGTCTTGATGAAAGGAGCTTTGAATCGACGTAGCGAATGCGTTCTAAGCCCATTTTGCCATTAATATTTAACATTTCTCCTGTCATTGTCATAGATGCGAAATAGTCGAGTTTCGTCACGTTTGTGCTAAGAAACTGCGTCAATCGAATTTTAGTCAACCCAAGCACAACAGAGTGGGAGGGGCCAGGCATCGCTTCGACGTCACTAATACTCCCAATTGGAGCCAAAGCCGTTCGTCGATTCCGTGGTCGCCGTTTGACGGATAAATCCATTGGATCTTGTAAAGGAGGCTCCGTAGCTCGAATTAATTGCACCCGAATACTGTCGTTCTCAGTCAAAATTGAAGAAATCGCACTAGAATCTTTTAATTTGGAATAGATTAGTGTATTCGGAGCAAAGAATGGTATGAGGCGTAATAAATTCATTGGGAGCCAGTAGTTGTAGTTGATACCATGAGTCTCTAACGATTGAGGTTGGTGCATGGAATGGGATGTTTGATGGCATATAGATTCTGTTGTATCGTCCGACCAATCTGCGTCGTCATCACTCCACGAATGATCAAGATTTTCTTGCCAATGTTCTCCTTTTGGTACCGCTTTCAGAATATCTTCTCCATTGATAGGAATGCATTCAGTATAGCCTAACACACTAATTCGCAAATACAGTCGTGATGAATGCAAATTTTTCCTTTCACCTTTATCTGTTGTAGTATAATGTTGTACCTCTGCATGATACAACTCAGGTGGGATGTCATATATTGCTCTGATGACTAGCACTAGCCGACAAAGTGTCAATTGAGGTGGTAAGGCCGAATACTCCGCTAACTGCTGATTTTCAATTCGACTCAACCCACTTACAGCTGTTGTCATAGAAGGAACTCCAACAGCTTCAGAAAATTTAGTTTCAATCCGCCGCAAGTGCTGGTCACGTTCGTAGATGGCGTAACAAAAACTGCACACTCGCCACGATTCATACGCCAATTCAGGTACAGAATGCTCTACCAATGAATTAGATAGAAACGAAAGCGTCTTCTCGGGTGAAAGTTGAGATCGTATTCGTAAATGCATGTCGTAAATCATGTTTGAAGTCATTCTATAGGACAATTCAGCTTTCGTATAAGTGCTCAAACAGCATTTGCACTGAAAAAGCTTGGACACTTTCTGCTTCATAAAAATAACATTTTTTCGATGAGATTGATGTCTACTACGTCGATTTTGCTCATCTGGTTCCTCGTCATCGTCCATTCCAAAATTTCGATACATTAAATAAGCCTTTCGTAACTTACGTGGCAAAGCAGTGCATCTCTTTTGAGCTTGAAAAGCCTTAACCTGAATGAACCACCAGTTGCCAGCAGCATCTTTGATAAAATCTGCAACAAAAGTCTGGATAGAAATATGCAAATGCCGCTCAACATATCGTACTATCTGCAGATAGTTGCAAACCGAAAGTTTAGGTCACATCAAAAAAGAATTTATACGCCTACCACGTACGCGTAAATTAAGTTCAGACACTGCAGCACATCCACGTTCGGTCAATTTGATAAATGTGCACCCCTTTTCGGCATGGATATTTGTGCAGAGTCGACTGATATTGGGAAAATCACTTAGCGGCTCCGTGTTACGTATCATCCACGCATAAGACGGTTTTCCAGCTTCAAAAACTGCTCGTTGAACAAAAGCTCTTAATCCTTTGAATTTTACAAACTGTTGGAGCGAAAAAGACTTTTTCACAGTCTGCACACCGTCCAATAAAGTCTTAACTTCTCCAAGATTCAGTAGACGCAACTGGTTACCTTGAAAACAAACAGACCTATGAGCAGCTTGAGACCCCCCCGTTGACATTTTGACGATCGACTCTTTGTACACGATCAAATGCTTATCATTTTGTACTGTCCGACCTTGTGAAAATTGCTCGAGCACTTGCTTGTCATTAAACTCTGTCGATCGCTGGACGTATCCATTTTTATCCGTAAATATCCAAATACCACGTCCAGTTTCGCCGTATACAATCGTATCGGGTACGTTTAGTTTGAGTGCTGATAGGTCAGGCCTTCGATGACAGCGTTGTGATTCACGTTCCTCATTCTCACTACCATGTCCTGCATAATCCGAATCGACTGGTCCCAATGCCACTTCTTTTGCTGCTAGAAAGGTGTAGAAATGTATACCAGGCACCAAACTTGCATGATACGAAAAGGTAGTCGCCGAATCATTGAATGACACGACAGCAACTGTACTTCGATATCGAGTGCTACTTTTATTATCCTGGACATCTTCCGAAGCTCGAGGCTTTCTAAATAAACTCCGACTTTAAAATGACTTAGAAAAACGGTTGCATGGAAAGAAGACTTACAATTGTAGAGCATTTGAGCCTTTGGTCAAATCTATTGAAGTCTTCTCCGCATGAGAGAGCGCCGTGTGAAGCTTCTGGTGCACAAAGCTGGATTGAGCACTGTTAGGTCGGATCCTACGAGCCGTAGGTGGAGCATCTTTGCCTGGAAAAAAGGAAGAGGCTTCATCGCTTATTAACATCAGAATGAAGTTATACTCAACCTCAAATCACAAACACCGTCCGGTCACAATACACAGACGCCAACAGATATAACTGAAACCGTGTGAAAAAGCTATTTTCACCAGCTCTTTCTTTCATTAGCTTCTATTTGATGGTTTTTCGTATGAATGAGTGGTGGCAGCTTTCAATCTTCAGTAACTCAGCTGCTGCATCGTCAGACAAACTCGCAGCAACATGGCCGACGATACACGTTTGCAGCTACCATAGCAGTAAGTGTTGAAAATGACAATTCCACATAGAAAATAAGAGGCTCAAATTATGTTTGCCATCCAGAATCGTTTTTTTTCGGACAATTCGCTTGATCGACAAAATCGAGTCGTGGAATGTGCAAAAAGAAGACAAGCTCGAGCACGAGACCGAGCACTACAGCAGGTATGTGTCTAATCTGAAGCCGGACTATACATCAATGTTGATTATGTTCTACTTTTTCCAGGCTTGCCGAGTTAAAAAGCTCGAGGTCGAGTTTGCAGAAGCCGAACGAGTGAAGTCCTTAAAAGAAGAACGTGAGGTTTCACGTATGAGGCGGAAATTGGAGCACGTCGCAGCCGCGTACCTTCAGTATATTTGGCGACGCTATTGTCAGCTTAAGAGAGAAGCGAATGTTCGAAAGACTCGAGCTGAACGCTTACTGGTCGATTTCTTTTCGTATCGAAGTTTCCGACGAAAATCAGTTCGTCGTCAAGCTTCGTTCCAAATCCAGAAACGATATCGCGAATATCGGATCATTCAGCGAACAAAGCTTGGCTTTGCTGTCTTGGCATCAACACTTCTTCCACTTATCCGCAAACGTCGAGCTCGACGACATCAGAATGCTGTCAAACTCCAGTCTTGGTATCGCCAGCAACACATTCAGAAACGTGAGAACTCAGTGCGAATCATCCAGCGTGCGTGGCGAATATCCGTTTCGAAAGCAAAACTCTGCTACTTTTCAAGAGCTTATCATCACTTGACGAATCTAAGGCGACTTGAACGCTCTGCATGTGTTATCCAGCGAACTTTAGGCAAGAGCTTTGTACAACGTCGACTCCTCTGTTTGGATGAATTTCGTGAATACCCATGCATAATGACAGCTCCATGGCCGCCAATTCGACCCGCGGAAGAGCAGGGTCAAGAGTTTTGGCTGCATAAAGTTCAGTTGCTTCAAGCCGCAATAGCAGAGCGGAAGCGATTGGCAAAAGAGGAGACTTCTTCACAAGTGGATATTCAAGATCTCCAACAAAATGTAGCAGAAGCCAAGACTCGATTAAGGGATGAAAGTGACCGTTACTATCGTCATGCAATTTTAGAGGAGCATCGACGACAGAAAGAGGAAGAAGCAAAGGAACTGCGAATGCATGAATTAGAAGGCACGATGCGAAAAGCGATTCGACTGGAGCTTGAGCATGAGCTCGAGACTGCTCGTCGTCTTATGGTACGCAGCAAAAGACGTAGAAATTTGACTGTAGCCATGTCAGATGAAGAACGAGTTGAAGGAACTTAATTTACGTAATTTATTTTGTATACTTTGTTCTTATTGGTTTAATCGTTGCTTGAGATATGGGAAAAGAAGACCTGCTGGAGGCTTTCATAGGATTGCAAACTGCGACGTCTGTAGAAGACTTTCGTGCTCAGTTCGTAGTGATTAACGAAGGTGGTAATTTTCTGCATCGTTAAATTCGTACTCAGCGCAAACTCTATCGTATTAACTACTTGACACAGCTCTGAATGACATCCAACGGAAACGCTGGAAATTTCTAGAAGATGCGTGTTTCAATGTGCTGCGAAACGTCTTTAAGCTTCAAATAAATAATGGAGAAGACAATCTAGGCAATTTGGACAGTCAGAAGCTCTTCAGTGAACATCAAATTGACCTCTGCCTTCAATTTCTCGAGCCATTGATCGACTCGACAGCTCACATCGTTGGTGCCTTGGACGACGAGCAAGAGGCAGCCGGTCAACGAGGGGTTCTCGTTGCTGCACTTTTATATCTCTTTGAAAAGGCTCCACAGCGAAAAGACATCAATTTACGATTGATACCGAACGTACTAAAGTGTGGCGTAGACATTCACGTTTTCGTCTCCACGCTACGCTTTCGAGAAGAGTTAGTTGAATGTCAAGAGAAGTTGTTGCCACTACACGATAGTGACTCGGAAGATTCGGAAGTGGAGGATGGTGAAGATAAATTAGAATTGACGAAAGGATTCAAAAATGATGATTTTCGGTGGATTTCCGAGCGAGTGGCCGAAAAATGGGGATTTTTACGCTATCGATACTTTTTAGCAACATATGGACAGGAGTATGCATTTACCGCATGGTCTTCCTCTGGTGTTGCAAGTTTAGTTCATGCGATGCTTACTGAGGAGATGTTTGAAAATGCATTATCAGCGATTGTGTCACCACTCTCGTGGTTGTTTCTTCTGGCTTCATATGCACATTGTTTGATCAAATCGAACGATCAACAGGTATTATTAGTTGTGAAATGGTGCGAACAACAAAATTTTATTGTGTTTCCAATAAGTAGGAACGCTTCCGTGGCCTGGAATTATTGCGCGTTGCCATTAATCTTAGTCCCGAAGGGAAATTGGCGTTTAAAATAAATGACGCAATGATAACGAAACATCTACCGTTTCGAGAACAAGCGGCAGGTATGTTAGCAAGGTGATTATGTTATCAAACAAAGTTGCTTATGAGAGTATCGAAGTATTTTGTGATCGGGATTGGATCTCTCCCTTGATTCAGGTGATAACAAATGCGATGGTGTCGTTCCCTGAAGCCAGTCATCGATCAGCAGCACTTGCAGTATTGAAAGGATTGGTCTTGAGGCTCGTTATTGATGATCGGTACTCTTTATGAATCTCCTTTCAAGATTCATAATTGACCTAAAATATTATCTTTTCAATAAACTTTTAGCTTCTGGATACTTCGAGATTTGATTATCGAGTGCCCGTATGGAAACGTTGCAGCTATCTTAATGGATTTCGTGCGCAATGATACAGTGCAGGCGTGGTCCTCAATCTATACGCTTTCACAGTCACGTGAGTAGCTGACTGGAACCTTACAATGCATGTGACTCTAACTTGTCTCGCTTTCTGGGTCAAAACAGCATTTAAAACGTCAGCTATCTGTTCACTGCTATACAAAACGCTAGCTCAAGCTGCCGAGCGTGATCTTGTGCTACAAGCTGATTTAATTGCAAGCACTTTGAGTCTTCTTCGGTTTTTATACATTCGAGATAAGGTACGATGTGTAAGCACACCAGCAATACAAAACGTGGACTAGCATTTTCTTCATGAAAACAGGACAATACCACTGGTCTCCGAAGTATCTCAAATGATCGCGATATCAGCCAAGTGATGACGCGGATCAACAAACGCCTACATTTGACGATTCAAGAATCGGCAAAAAGCATCGAGTCCGACTCCTTTCACAGAGATTTTGCGCAACTTCTGATCTTGGAAGCATCGCTTGCTTCGACACTTGAGCAATTTAAAATTTAATCAGCTAGCAGAATTAGTAAATATGGTGCTCGGTGGAACTCGGAAGGTCGCGAACTGTTCTTGGAGTTTCAACTATAAAGCATGGTGATGAAATTACTCAAAGTTCTTTTTTGGGGGCCCGTGTCAAAGCCTTGAAACTTCGGGACATTGACAAGGTCTCATTGCGAAGCACTCCACCTGGTATTTTGCAATAAGTATGGTTGGCTATCTACTTCCTTAGCAATATCTCAAGCCACGACGGCAACTAATGGAGGGAGAAATGCTGTTTAACCATCCCTACAACTTCAACGAGATCAAATCCTGATGTTATCTGCAATTTGTGTACTTATATCTCTTATGTTCGGTAAAATAGTGAAAATAGTGAACATAGAAGCATCAGGCTGGTTCATGAAGATGATGGATGCAGCAAGCTGGACTCCCTGCTCTTTTTGTCAGTGGGAAGTTTTCGAAAATCCGCCGTAGACCACTAGGCAATAGCTAGCTTGAACAAACAAGCCGGTCCCTGCTAAAAAAAACACGTCTTGTTCTACAGCAATCGCAAGAGACAATTACAATTCTAGACCATCTGACGTCGCTTATCACTCTGATTGGTGCTCCTACACGTTTGAGCCCACGGGCCTTCAGCCCATCATGGGCAAAATGAGCGCGAGAGAGTTACCTTAGGAGCGCTCTATCGACACACAAGCAGTCACTCACTAGGAGTGCCGTCTGTGCTTGGTGCAGCAACGATTGGGCAAAACCATATTCTCCACAAACAAAAACTTGAAAACTAGAACCTGGTGAAAGTGCCACTCAGTATCAGTGTCAATTTGCACACTGGGCGAGGAAACGCGCTGCCTCGCCGATCTAAATGATATACAAGCCAGCTTTAGCACAGCGGATGTCCACCTTAAACGACATCTCATACTTGGCATCTCAAGTTCCAAATCATGACGCGGGCGTCGAAATGATAGCCCATTTACCTTAAGTCCCGCTGCTTATCGCTTTTATCGTTTCGATGAGTCACCTGTACAAGCGACAGACTAGTTCTTACAGCAAGGTTGGCTACCTCTCACTGAAGGGAAGTACGGGCCTGCCGTTGTCCAAAGGGTTATGAAGACCAAAAGAGCGCTAGGCTATAAGCAGCCATGGCACCAGGGCAATCTTGCCGAAGTGACCCTCAAACTCCAACGAGTTTCCAGACTGTGTGTGACTTTCTCACTCCGCCAGATACTGGTAACATCACTGCTGAACCCGCCGATTTACCAAACGTTTTAAGGAAAAGTGGGCCGCCCTAAGAGCATCAAGTAGAGCTGATGT